CGTTATGTAATATCAAATCCACCGAATCAATTTGAACTTTATCCAACAGATGTAATATTTTGCTTATGTCCATTTGAAAGTGAACGGATGTAATAGACAGATGATAATAATGCTGACTAATGTGATCACTTTGTTACTTTGTCATTTTCAGATTTTTCCTTTATTGTTAGTTGTCTGCACACTTTCTTTCACTCCCACTCCCACTCTCTCTCTCTCGCTATTTCTGTATGTGTCTATGTATGTGCTGTTTCACCAGATTTCGTTTTATATATTGTCTACCTTTTACTCTTAAAACGTGTTTCCAGAATTATTATCTCTAAAAGTCATTTATAAACATGTTACACAAACCTAATTTAGTCACCTAATCACTTATTGATTGATCAACTGATGTGCTTTGATGATAACAAATGAAAATAAAACTGGAACAATATGCGTCAAGTTCTTCTTGTTCCTTATTGGACTAATTTATGTACATGCTGTGCATGCTGTACCCAATTTATTAGTGATTGATTATAGAGGAGTGAGCTTTCAAAGTATTTCCCTTCAATTTCCAAAATACCAATGCATACTTTGCTATCAGTTTAGTAAACAATATTGAAGACTATTTACATTAAAAACTTATCATTAAGCAACTTCAATGATCCGAGGATGTATAGTGAACTCATCACAGTCGGACTAATTAATTGTCATCGTTTTTTACAGTTTTAACAAGAGACCTCTAAGTTTAACTAGATAATAAGAAAGTAAATTTATCTTGAATTATTTCGATATAAAGATTTCAAAACCATCGAAAAATATTCCAACAGTAATTCATGAATGTTGAGTGGAAAGTGCTTGACTAAATGGTGATTTCTTGTTTGCCAGTAAGTTATACATAAATACATTATAGATCCATAAATTATTGATCCTAATGCAACATGAAACTAATAATTTAGGAAATAGAATTGTATTATTTTTGGTCGGCATATAAAGACCTTCTATAATTTGAAGGTACTTTTCATCGAACAATTGAAAACAAGGAATGACTGGATAATTGTTTCATTCGAGTCGAATTCGGAACCCGTAAGGAGTGCTCCTATACCACCGCACCTAGGATCTAGCTCAGGCCTCTCAAAGACCAAGTTACTATTAAACTGATAAGTTGACGTCGAACTATTCAAATGTTCATTTCCAATCAACTCATTCTGTTACGAACACAATGTAGATGTGCACTAATATGGTCTGTCACTAGAGTGGAACTCAAATGTAACCTATATATTTCTAAAAGACACTGTTATTGGTGAAATGAATACAGGTGAAAGTATGGACCTATAGTTCTTAATGACAGAAGAAGTGAAGACACGAAAATTTCGAAGGATAATGGAGCTACAGAAATGCTGATGATCGTGGTTGCTGTTTTAGTCCACAAACATATACATCTCGATTGCGTGTACTAACTGGTTTCGAAATGTAAGCTCACAGATTTCGGTGGATTTAGTTACACCATAATGATATCACATTTTGAGATATGAAGATGATACCTGTCAATTCATGCACTACATGACATGATTACAAGATAAAAATATTGTACGGATTCACAAACTCACACATGATATAATATCATGATGATGTTTGATGAACAATGTTGCAATAATTTGGCCGATAATTATTTGACACAACTTATCAAGCATACTTCTAAGGTTTAGAGGCAATTCACAACAACTTGGAGTCACTCGAAGGAGTCCCCACTACTTATTCGCTGACCGAAGTCTAGTTGTACGTTTATTTAACATTCGTGACAAATATTTCTGAAAAATTCACTGATTAATTCATAACTGGTCTAAACGGTAATTCGACAGATTATCATTACACATTTAATATAATCAAACCTGATGTGTTTGTTACCCTTGGTTAAAAACAAAGGTTTCAAGGTGGTGGAGAAGATTTGTAGCTCAGGTCGACGATTTTGATGGAGTTTCGTTCTCTGACCTGGATGGTTTGGTCGTGGATCTTTCTATCTGAAGTTTGTGCTGGTGATGTCGTTCAGAAGAACGATGAAAGCTCCACGACCAAACCATTCAGCTCAGAGAACAAAACTCCATCAAAGGTTTCAAGGATATTTCACTAGACAGAAATCAATATTTATATTTATTTGGTATGAAAATAGTAATTACAGAATTCGTGACAGTTTACAGACATGGTTAGATTGACATAGATGGCAATCTCAAATGGAGAGGACAGATATATGATATTACATTGTTTGAAGTGTTCGACTTCAAAAATTGTTTAGGTGGCATATATTTCACATGTATTACAACAATGCATGACGTCAGTCGGGAACTATTAAATCTCTTGTTAAGTGGATATTCTATTGATGCGCATTCTGTATAGTTGGAAAATTCGACGCCAGTAATTTTTTTCATCATTCTAGAGATAACTGGGGTGGTATTAATAGACCGATAATTCTTCGTGTCAGTCTTATCTCAAGATTTGTAGCATGTTATGATGTGCGTGGTTTTCATTAGTAAGGGTAAGTACCTATCTCCAGAGTGAGGAAGAAAGAGAGAGCGTGTGTGTGTAAACAGCTTTAGGAGAAGTAGTGTAATATTAGATCAATAATACCCATATAGAATGGATGAAATACCATCTACTGCATAACTGTCTGAGGCCTTAAGGGAGTTTATAGCTTTACTAATATTTAGATGAGTGAAAAAAATAGATTTTATGGAGTTAACACTACCAGTATTCCAGTTTATTCCAGGGTAAATGAAATCTCCTGTGGTGACCTTCACATTTAGGGCAGATACACGTATAAATGTATTAACAATCTTGTCATTCATGTTATTAGAAGTGTCGGCGGCTCTGTATATACATCTCACGAGTAGACTGATTTGGGGTGTTGACTGATATCCAAACTGATTCAGGTTAACTACTCAAGACAATATCTTCAACTTTATCACATTGAGCAACTCAAGGCATACATATGACAACAATCTTCTTGTTTAGCCTCTCTGCTATAGCTATAAAATTGGTAGTTCTGGATATTTGGTTCTGAATCAGACACTGTCGAATAGCACTATGTTTCACTGACAAATATGAAAAGAGGTTTAGCTATTGAAGTCATGGTTCTGGAGGTGGAAATCATATTTTGAAGTGAATGTACATTGATTAGTAATGGGCTTATAGAGGAAGCATGATGTGTAAACAATCCGATAACGATCTCATCTAAGTTATGCAATTTAGTGGTGACTGAATATGGTTCAATTTGGTTGTCCGAGCGTGTAGGCTATCGCTTGAACAAGCTGTGGTGAGAGGGACCAGGTATTTCTGCAGGACAAAAATATCATTATTTCTGTAAGGTAAAATTATTTACAGAAATCGATATGGTGGACAGTTAAGAAAGTCATCTGCTCGTTGGGGTTGAGTAAATGGTGAGTAATCTAACAGTCTATCTTGCTCATTGGGAAATTGATGAAGATAGTTGTTTCTTGTAGGTTTAGTATACAAAAGTTTTTGGTTCAATCGTGCGACATCTTGGTTCCTTGCAGTTTGTCCAGTAACAGGTTTGCTTACATTAAGGTTGTGGTGGGAGTCTTGTGTATCAGTTGAGCAAGGTATGTTCCATTGATTTAGAAAGTGAAATTTTGACAATTCGCCTATTGTTTGTGGATTTAGTTTGAGGTGACAAATGGTGGATCGACCAGTTCGTGTCTGTGTGCCCATATAACCACCTGTATGACTAGAAACCACAAACCTGGTGTTCTGTAGTCTATATTTGTTTGGTTGAGCCTCTACAATACTTTTGGTACCGGTTTTTGAGCCAGACACTTCTATATTTAATTCCTTCTCACATGATTAAGATGTATCAATCTTAAGTGTTTCGAAAAGCTTCGTGTTAGGATTGGATGTTTAAGTATGCGCTTCTTCTGTTCTGATGAAAGATATCGAATCAAAAGCATAAAGTCTGTGTCGACATTTAGTATACATTGGTTATCTGAGGTTGCAACAGGTTATGTGAAGTCTGTGGCAAGTTAGCATTCTTCATTAATAATTTAGAGTATTGGCTGACAAACGATATGTTGGTCACACAAGTGGGGCCTGTCGATGAACCAACTGAATCTGTTATAGTTTGTACATCATTATTTTCGTCTGAGATGTAGTGTGTGTTAGTCTTTGATTGGTGGTCTTATCTGTGACTAAACGGGGATTCTTGGACTTATAAAGTGCACAGATTAACCGTTCAGATTCCTTCAGTAGTTCAGCTGCTAAATGTGAATTGAACCTAAGCAAGATAGGGCACGAAAACTGCTGACGGTTTTACTAAGGTGAATACATTAGCATGGACTATCCTGAAAGTTAACTGACCTCATTATCGAATATCCCACCGGTTTGAGCGTGATTTTGTCAGGTGCATTATAGAAAATCCTGTTTTTTCCAGAGATTATTCGCCTAGAAACTTCCTTAGCAGTAAAATCGACAACATATTTTGATTTAATGATGTCTTCAAGATCAGCAGGAGTCACTTGGCATGGAGCCCAGGCAGAAACAGATTTGGTATTATTCGAGCTATCAGAGCTTCCCCAGGCACGTTCCTTTGATCAACCATCCATTTTCACTTTAGTGTTATGCCTAATTCTATACATACGTTATGTACCAGGAGTAAATATAACCATATACCTATTTTCAGAGTGAATTTTATTGTAACACAATGATCAAACGTAGAATAAAGAATTTGTTTAAAGTTCAAACATTGTTCTTAGGATAGAAAAATACTCATGATTTTAGAGAAACTATACACAACACAGCACACATCTTAAAAAAATGTGTGAACTAGTCTTTCTTCGGAGTATACCACGTGATTTCATATTATCAGGAATTTCAATCATCGATATAATAATATCAGTCTACAAGAAGATATTGCATTTCGGTGAACCAATGAAAGTAAATCTTAAGTTAACTCAAGGTTAATCTTGTCGGTCAAATGGTACCATTGATCGAGGTCCATATTGATAGTCTATAGACGAGACAGCATACTCACGGTAGAATATTTATAATCAAAATTCTGATTGGTGAAGTTATCAAATGAAATTGATCAGTCGCTCACACATCTCAATGACATAACAGTATAAATTATAGAGAAAATTCTTAATTATATATATTCATAAAATGGGAACATTTCTAGGACATATTTATCCAGGACTTCTCGTAGTAATCATCGGATTACGTAATCTATGGATAAACTTGAGATCATTTTATACTGAAGAGTGTAATCATAACGGGAAGAATGATTGTCGAAATCCCTATGATTTCAAGAGTAATCTAAAAGAATCCATATTCTATATTATAACTGGGATTATATGTTCTGGGAATGAAATAATAACTGTTTTAATGTACGATGGATATTATTTTGGAGGGCATAGTTATCAACATATGACAATATTTATTGTGATATTACTTTATGGTGTGATTCGAATTATTCTGTCCTACAAATTACCTCATTTATTTAAGTAGGTTTAATTTTGACATATTTCAAATAATAATTTAATGGTCACATTGTCGTTCAATATGAATGATCATAGAAACGTTTCAATGAATAAAATATTCAATAGATTAGCTAACAATTGTTCACATCTGTGTACATGAATTGTTGATATCGTCACTTTGTTGTTATTCAATGTTAAAATAATCTACTTTGTTGTAGAAATAATATATTGTTAATAATTAGTAAAACACCATAAGCAAACAGGTAAGAGAGTGTAGAAAATAAAGCGAAACGAAACGGGATTGGCTCACATGCCTTATCTAGTTCGTTTCACTTTGTTCTCTACATTCACTCCTACTGACTTCCCTGTGTGCTTACTTTCTATGTGGTTGCGGATTTTTACTAATTCTTAATAATATACTATCTTTACAACTGGTGTTATGGCTTTTGAATAAACTCGAGTGAATTCATAATAATACTAGGAGATTTGGCCTGAGTAAATACTCAGTCAACTGGATATTATTTACTGAAGTCAGATATAGAGGAATTAACCTCTACAGATATAGTACTGTAGAATTAGTTGACTGTAATATCACAATATACTTACTTACTTACGCCTGTTACTCCTAGTGAAGGAGCATAGGCCGCTCACCAGCATTATCCATCCAACCCTGTCCTGGGCAATCCTTTCTAGCTCCGTCCAGTTCCTATTCATCCTTTTCATATCTGTTTCTATTATCCGACGCGATGTGTTCTTTGGCCTTCCTCTTTTTCGCTTCCCTTCAGGATTCCAAGTTAGGGCTTGCCTCGTGATGCAGTTTGACGATTTGCGTAATGTATGTCCTATCCATTTCCATCGTCTTTTCCTAATTTCTTCTTCAGCTGGAAGTTGGTTTGTTCTCTCCCACAGAAGGCTATTGCTGATGGTATCCGGCCAATGGATGTTGAGTATCTTGCGTAGACAGCTATTTATAAATACTTGTACTTTCTTGATTGTGGTTGTTGTAGTTCTCCAAGTTTCAGCTCCATACAGTAGAACTGCCTTGACGTTCGTATTGAAGATTCTCACTTCGATATTGGTTGAAAGTTGTTTTGAGTTCCATATGTTCTTCAATTGTAGGAATGCGACCCTTGCTTTGCCGATCCTCGCCTTTACGTCTGCATCTGAACCTCCTTGTTCATCGATGATGCTTCCTACGTATGTGAAGGACTCTACATCTTCCAGAGTTTCGCCATCAAGAGTGATTGGATTGTTGTTTTCCGCTTTGAATTTGAGGACTTTGGTTTTCCCTTTGTGTATGCTGAGGCCTACTGATGCAGAGACTGCTGCTACACTGGCTGTCTTCATCTGCATCTGTTCGTGTGTGCGTGATAGGAGGGTTAGGTCATCTGCGAAGTCCAAATCGTCTAATTGATTCTGAGCTGTCCATTGTATTCCGTGTTTTCCTTCAGATGTCGAGGTCTTCATAATCCAGTCGACCACCAGAAGAAAGAGGGAGAGAGTAAACAGCCTTGTCTGACTCCGGTCCTTACTTGGAATGCATTTGTCAGCTGTCCTCCATGCACTACTTTGCACTGTAGTCCGTCGTATGAGTTCCAGATAATATTGACAATCTTCTCAGAAACTCCGTAGTGTCGAAGAAGTTTCCATAATGTCCTCCTATCTACACTGTCGAATGCCTTTTCATAATCAATGAAGTTGATGTATAGTGATGAGTTCCACTCAACTGATTGTTCGACGATGATCCGTAGTGTTGCAATTTGGTCTGTGCACGACCGATCCTTACGGAATCCAGCTTGTTGATCTCGAAGTTGGGCGTCTACTGCATCCTTCATCCGGTTCAGCAACACTCTGTTGAAGACTTTCCCTGGTATTGACAGTAGTGTAATGCCTCTGTAGTTTTCACATTTGCTCAGATCTCCTTTCTTTGGAATCTTGACGAGGTGTCCTTCTTTTCAGTCCATCGGCACTTGAATATCACAATATACCATTATAATATGGGATATTTACCTTTATCTACCTTACTGACTTACTTACGCCTGTTACTCCCAACCAGCATTCTCCAATCCACTCTGTCCTGGGCCTTCTTTTCTAGTTCCATCTAATTCTTGTTCATTTTTCTCATGTCTATCTCTATTTCCCAGCGTAATGTGTTCTTTGGTATTCCACTTTTCCTTTGGCATTGAGGATTCCAGTTGAGGGTTTGTCTTGTGACGCAGTTGGGTGCTTTCCTCAATGTGTGTCCTATCCACTTCCAGCGCTTCTTTCTGATTTCTTCCTCCACTGGGATCTGGTTTGTTCCTTCCCACAGGTAGTTGTTGGTAATAGTGTCCGGCCAACGAATCCGAAGTATTTTGCCTAGACAACTGTTAATAAACACCTGCATCTTCTGGATGATGGCTTTCGTAGTTCCCTAAGTTTCCATCCCATATAGTAGAACTGTCTTGACATTTGTATTGAAAATTCTGACCTTATTGTTAGTTGACAGTTGTTTTGAGTTCCAGATGTTATTCAGTTGTAAATATGTTGCTATTGCTTTGGCGGTCCGTGCTTTCACATCTGCATCAGATCCACCATGTTCATCAATGAAGCTGCCCAAAGATGTAAAGGTTTCTACATCTTACAAATATTCTCCGTCAAGTGTGATCGGATTGATGCATGCTGTATTGTATCGGAGAATCTTGCTCTTCTCTTTGTGTATATTCAGATCTACTGCTGCTGAATCTGCTACTACACTGGTCGTCTTCTCCTGCATTTGTTGTTGCGTTTGGGATAGAAGGGTCAGATCATCTGCGAAGTCGAGATCGTCCAGCTGCATCCTGGTTGTTCACTGCGTCCCGTGCTTCCCTTCAGATGTTGACGTCTTCATGATCCAGTCGATCACCGGGAGAAAGAGAAAGGGTGAGAGTAAGCAACCTTGCCTGACACCGGTCTCTACCTCGAACGAGTCTGTCAACTGTCCTCCATGCACGATTTCTCAGTGTAATCCATCATATGAATTCTGTATGATATTGACTATCTCCTGAGGGACGCCGTAGTGTTGAAGAAGCTTCTATGGTGTTGTCCTGTCGACGCAATCAAATGCTTTCTCGTAGTCAATGAAGTTGATGTAGAGTGATGAATTCCATTCAATTGATTGTTTCACAGTGATCCGTGGTGTTGGGTTTCAGTCGGTACACGATTTGTCCTTACGAAATCTAACGTGTTGATCTCGATGTTGGGCGTCTGTGGAGTCTTTCATTCTGTTTCACAATACCCTGTTGAAGACTTTTCCCGGTATTGAGAGAAGAGTGATGCCCCTGTAGTTCTCACAGTTGCTGAGATCGCCTGTCTTTGGTATTTTGACCAGAAGTCCTTCTTTCCAGTTCCTTGGTACGTGTTCCTCATCCCAAATCTTGCTGAAGAGAATGTGAAGTATCCTTGCAGTTACCGCTACGTCTGTGTCAGTGCCTCTGCTGGAATGTTGTTTGGTCCTGCTGCTTTGCCACTCTTGATTTGTCTGATGGCCGTTCTGATCTCTTCAATCGTTGGTGGGCCAACATCGACTGGAAGGTTCGTGGATATCGCTTCGATGTTGGGTGTATTCAGTGGGACTGGTCGATTCAAGAGTTCTTTGAAGTGCTCTATCCACCTTTTTCTCTGTTCTTCAATGTTGGTGATTACTTTGCCTTCCTCGCTTTTCACTGGTCATTCTGGTTTGCGATAATTTCCAACCAGCTTCTTGGTTGTATCATACAATTGTCTCATGTTTCCTTCTCTCGCGGCCTTTTCCGCCGTCATTGCCAAATCTTCCACACATTCCCTCTCCATTGAGTAAATCATGAAAGGCCTGGAACTTATTGCTGAGGGCTATCTTGAATTCGTTAAGTTTGTCAGTATCCCGAAGAAAAGCCGTATTGAACGTTTGTGATATTGCCTGCCCCGTTGTCCAGTGCTTCTTGAGTTTCAATTTTATCTTGGCGACCAGCAAGTGGTGATCTGATGCTATATCAGCTCCTCTCTCGGTTCTCACATCCTCCATCGTCCTCCTGAACTTATTGTTGACGCAGATATGGTCGATTTGGTTCTGCGTTGTGTGGTCTGGTGAAGTCTATGTTGTTTTGTGAATGCGTTTATGTGGGAATATAGTGCCGCCTATGACCAGTTTATTGAAGGCACATAGGTTTGCAAATCTCTCACCATTTTCGTTCCTTTCTCCAAGTCCATGTCATTCCATCATCTCTTCATATCCAGTGTTGTCCATTCCAACCTTGACATTCAAATCTCCCACCAGAGTGGTCAGGTCTTTTGTTGGGCACTTCTCGACGATTGACTGCAGCCTATCGTAGAATTGATCTTTAGCGTCTTCATTGTAGTGGTTGGTAGGCGCATAGCATTGGATGATGTTCATTGAAATGTCCTCTTTCTTTGTTTTGAAGGAGGCTTTGATGATCCTTGGTCCATGAGATTCCCATCCTATAAGTGCATTTTGTGCTTTTTTGAATAGTATCTACTGATTAAAATATTATTTATTTACCGTTTCATTTTAGGCAGATTTGTGATTTATTTTACCTTATGATGGGATGTGCTGTATACTTTTCACTGATGTTTCATTTACACAAACGACCTCCATTCGATACACATGTGCATATTATTTTGGTTCATACAATATTATTTACAATTATATCACATATTGCACAGATTATTTCCAATTCTAATCCAATCTTCAGTTTGATGCATAATTTTTGTTTCATATTAATTGGTTCGTGGCTTTGTCATGTGAGTTCTACAGTTTATTCACTTTAAAATGTAATTTAGAACAACATATATAAACGTACAACATTGTTTTCGATTAGATCCTCATCAGGCTTTACTCTAATATACAGTAATATTTATATGCATATACGAAATTTCAGAAGGAGTTTTGTGGATATAATTAATTAAGATCATGAGTTAATTGGAGCTAGACCACTATAGAAAACCTGGAAGCACTGAACAGTCGTTTCATTCTATTGTGGACACCTCAGCAGTGCGCATCCACGATCCCACCCCGTGAGATTCGAACCAAGGACTTATTGGTCTCATGCGCGAACGCTCAACTTCTAAACCACTGAGCTGACCGGCATCCAACGGTGTTAATGTGTAACTTCAATTAATCCACGAAATCGGGCGACACATCCATCATTGTCTTCACTGAGTTCCATACAAGGACAAAATTGCCGTCCAGTGCTTCCAGGTTTTCCATAGTGGTCTAAGTTTAATTGACTCAAGAATTCAGCTATTGAATATAAACAATCAAGTAATTTCATTGTCATATATCATAAGAAATTTGCGACGAACTTATGAAGTTGTATTATTCTGCAGTTTATGTTAATCTTGTTGTTTCCAGAATAATTAACGAGATCAGTTGCATGAGATTGATATCAACTTTATTTTCAAAACACATTCACTCGAAACTAATCTTTCAGCTGAGGAAATTATGTACAAGATCCCTGTCGTGATTCGAAATAATTTAACGTTCTTGATCATTCAAAGTACATAAAGTAAATTGCTCTGATATATTTAAAGTAACGACAAATCCAAATAGGTTGTGCAATACATAACATTGGATGTTTCTTTTATGGTACTTATTGATGACTGTTCACCAAATAATTATCTGAAGTCCTTATGGATTATTATCTGACAAATCTATGTATTTATCAGTAAATAAGAATCACCTTAACACACCACATAACATTTGTGTGCTCACTTAGTCTGAATCGTTCATTGAGAACAACAATAACAGAACTTGAATTCAAGTTCTAAATGTCACTAAGTTCAAGGCTTCTAATGTTCTACTACTACGTAGTTGAATTGCATACTATCATATGTTAAATAATGTTGAATGTGGATAAAATCCATTAGCGATTAATGAATGGGTTTGGGAACTTCTCAGAATACCGGAAACATATTGTCTTTAAGCTGTGTATGCACCCAAATATTTGAATAATAACAAAAAGTTATATTGTAAAAAATTTTAAGTGTATTAGACAGACTATTCTGACAGATTAATTCAATGATTAGAAAATGATTAACCCACTTACTTAACTCACCGTTAGAACATATGTTGTATAATATCAGTATTCAAGTTCTGAAAAGCTACTTGGATCAGAGATACACAATCCAGTAGAAAAAACAAAACTACATAATAAAGTGAATTGAGGGAGCGATCTAAAAATCAGCTCTCGTGCAACATATCAAATAAATGTTAGAAAACGCCTAGTTTACCGTTACGTTCAGCGGTTTGATTCAAATACATGTACACACTCTTCCTATAGGTATACCTAGCATAAAAAGGCTAAGAATTGGCAAGAAGCTGAAATAGACAAACTGAATAAAGTGTACACGCAATATGAATATACAAAAATATATTCTTCTGAACTAGAAGAGAATTAATTATAAGCTAAGGGCTTGAGAAAGTGCGTAACAGACTTCATTGAATAGCACGTCTTGTTTACCGTCTCTCATCTACCAATTGGACTTTAGTTGGTATGTGAGCACGGGGACAAGATATGTCTGAATCCCAACGACCTATCATTTCATGATTACAGGAAACACTGATGGTTTTTTATTGCTGTGTAGCAATATACTTGGTTAACGATAGATGAACATGAAACCCATATATTCTAGCGAGCTTTATTTATTCCAACAAATCAACTCCTTACAAAATATAAACAATAAGTGTTATATCCGATTGAGAATAATGAATGGTAACTGTCGGAATCTATTTCTTGAATATTACTATACATATACTTTTTATCGTATAATTGTTAAGCAACTAAACTATTCATATTCGTGTTCCTCTTATCATGAGCTTTATTTTGATCTATAACTGTTCTCATATGATTTACCATTCTTGAGTTATACCCAGTTTATTAATTACAGTCTCCCACATTCACAGCCACGTCTGGCTAAATCTTGTACAAATGTTGTTTCCTATTTCATATTATGATGTAATCTGTTTGGTTTGTATATAAACCCAGTATGTTTGAAATAAAGGATTCATATCTCAGAGGCTAATATTGATGTTTCTGGACTTAACAGGCAGGGATTGACGGGAAGCAGGACCGATGAGGACTCTAGTCTGTCTGTACAGGTTTTATGCATCATTAGTCCGGTCGAAAATTCACTGTTCTCTAATTGGCGGTGTCATCACGTTATAGGACATAGGGCACAAGTTATAACAATAGGTAATAATGGTGATCATATTGTAGTGATTTTGGAGATGAGTAATTCAGTAGAAATACTATGGCAGTAATCAGATTAAAAATGTGTATCGAAGTGATCACAGAAACTTCAGCTAACAAGTAACAACTGTATTGAGATCTCATTTGAATATATAGGTAAAGTAGCATATTTCATGACTTCGTACCACTCTTTTTTTTGGTTCATAATAACCCTTTTCAGCTTTCGGTATCTGCTTGTATTCACTTAATTCTAATAATAATACACAATTTGCATTTATTCCTTGTTAATTAGATTGGATTATACCTTTTTTCACCATGGAGTTGGTTAATTATTCGGGATCAGAATGACGTAATATCCATTATACACGCGAATAACACCTTCTCATATCATATGATAATGATCTGTTTGACTATAATCCTGATGATGTTTATTTTAAATAGAAAAAGTCGGCATACAATACAACAATCTCGTTTTTCTGAACACAATCTACAAAGACCCCCTGTGAAACAATGTTATTCATGAACAGTTAACGAGTATCGATCTATGAGCTGAAATTGCAGATAACGTTTTTAAATAAATATGGTTGTGAATTTCTGTAGCTCTTTTGTCACCTTACAATCTTATTGATAGATAAACTTATCAAAGTAACTTCAAAATGATCTTTCAAGGATTTATTGTTTTGCAGATAAATATATACATCAAAAGTTGATAATTCTTTTTAAAAAAAAAATAAAAACAATGGTTTTGTGTGACCATTGTTCTTTCCCCCCCCTTATGCTAGATTTTCAACAGTTGTTTAATGAAATGAAGAATAATGATAACTTCTTTGCTTGTCGGCAGTTCACGAAAACTTCACAAGATTCTCTTGCATTAGAATGTATTATTTGAAATGGAACTCATAACTTTATTAATTCTGTCAAGCAAAACAATGTTGTTGTGTAACATGATCGGTTAGAACTCTTAATTTACATACTGGTTTAACTAATTAAAAACTGCATATGACTAGTCGTTCCCCAGAAAATATGTGACGTCAATGTACATTCTCATGGAATTGCAAAAGAATTATAATAGTCGCTATCATACGAGATCAATTCTATTGCCTCATGCATTTTATTCAGGTCGTTTCAGTCATATTAAATTGAATCACTTTCTCACGATCGAATAGGTTTCAAAATTTCACGTGCTGAATAATCATAGTTTTTATCTCAATGATTGAGTGCCATGGTAACCGCAGTAGAACAATACCAAACCATGATGACAAGTGTTTGGGAGGAATTAAAACAGTCAGTCGATTGTTAGGATGCGTCTCCTCTTAACACAACAATCAACATGGAACTCAACTAACAAATCCCAATCACAGTCAAAATCCGTGTTCTCAATTTCACTCCCAATGGTAATTAGAAAAGGATTAGAGGATTGAAAGTAAAATGTTGAGGTATTTGCATAGGGATTGCACAAATCACCAGAGGATGACCAGTTAGTTATGTATTGAAATTCATCAAGTGCAAAACGTACCACTTTTGTATCAACCAGTAATCCTAGTGAATAAAAGAGAGAAATCCAGTAACTCGTTCGCCTGGTACGTAACTGATAAGTCTGTGGAGAGTAAACTACGAGTTAAAGACTGAATAACAACAACTATATGTTAAAATGTACACATCTATGAATCAGAGAATGGGAAATAATGTATTTTTTTGAATTTCACTCCTACACATGATCAACTGTTACTTTTGAATTATCAGAGTATTCAGTATTGATGATAATATCTGGTTCAATAAATAATGACTGATATGAATATTTCGTAACATTCTCCCTTGTGTTAATTTCTTCCTGTCTTTCTTATACTAGGTATGTATTATTATTGTGATCGGCAAGGATTTGAAGATAATCTAATTACCACAAATTCATCTCATAAACAATCACATGATCTATACAATCACATTCTAGTATGCATTCTAGCTGAACCAGATGCTCCACTGCTAGGTCTGCATTCATTTGTTATGCCACTAAGAGCAAGTAATTTCCATTCTAGTTAGCTCCAGAATGCTACAATACTGATGTGCAAACGTACTGTTTACACAGAATTCGTTGGCCCATAATACATATAATTAGAAGGCTGTGAATTTTTCTGTTAGTCATGGCAGGTAATAACAGTAATGGCTGACCAATCGTAACCTGATTAAGATATTAAAAATGGTTTCAAAATGGTCGTGGACGTAATAGAAGAAGCTTTTGCTTAACGAGCTTCCGTCTCCAGTAGCAATGGATCACCAATACCTCCAAGCAGGAACCCATATATATTACCGATGAAAGTCGAAAAAGAAATTGGTAAATCATGGTAAGATACTATCCTTAGTCCTTAAGAACATGTCAAGTTTCCTCTTAAGGGACTCTTGGGAAGTTACTTGGGCTAGGTCAGATGGCAAAAAAATAGAGCATTGCACAACTCTTAAGGAGTAGAAGTGTTTATAGTCCATTCTGCTGTATTGTGTCTCCAGTTTCTCGGTGTTCCCCCTTAGGTTTTCATTAAAGCTAAACTTAAGTAAGTATTTAATGGGATGACTAGATGAGTTAAGGATACTGTAAGCCATTAGAAGGTCACCTCTAAAACCACTGTACTCCAATTGGTAAAGATTTAGTGACTGGAGGTGCTTGAGGATGGCCCTACACATTCTTTATAGGGCTTGCATTCAAGTCCCCGAACTGATTTCGTGGCTTGCCGGTGGATACGTTCCAGATTGTTCTTATCTTTTTGCAGAGAGGGAGTAAGTACTATATGTCCATACTCTAAATGGGGATCAATAATACCGTTGAAGTGTAATGCACACCAGTGCAAGGTTTGCTCGAAAGGCATTTTTGTCACAGTTAACGTAAGACTTCACATTGTAGGGTAGCGGCACTCCTAAGAGGAGTTTCCTAAGTTTTAACTGTAGTCTGCAACATGTCTCAGATGGATTACTTTACACTTTTAAGTGTTAAAGGTAAGTCCGTTGTCATCTGCTCAACTTTTAGGTCAAGTCGAATCCTCCTGAACTGCCGACCCCTCCTCTTGGTTGCATACTTATCTGCAGAGTTTCACATCACCAGCGAAAAATAATAAGTCAGACAATACCTGTTATGGGAGATCGTTTATATAAGTCAAGAAAAGAAGAGATCCCAGCATTAAACCCTGGGGGACCCCACTAGGACATTCCATAGCCTGAGAGAAAGTGAAGTTAACCCTGATCTTTAAATGTCGATAAGACGTATTTGGTTGACCATATCAAAAGCTTTTGAGAAGTCAAGGTCAGTGACGTCAACCTTCCCCTTGCGATCAAGGATGGTTGTCCATCTGTTCACCGCAGCCAGCAGGTTGGTTATACAAGAATGACCCTTCCTGAAACCATACTGTTGGGGTGAATGTAGATTGATTTAATTTAGACACTGGATGAATTTGTGGTACCAGTAACTATCACAATGAACTCGGAGACACCTGCCATGGTTTGAACACAATCCATCAAGTTGAAATCACACATCAAGGACAGAAGACAATTCTGTATGCATTTCACGTATGTCCACTTATATACGAAAGAACTAAAAATCCGAGGAATAAACAGCGCAGTTGTAGAATAATTCGTGGGGAGACATTATGGAAGTTTGATGTGCATTGCACAAAAACGAACAGGACCTGAAGAAACATCAACACATGTATGTGTCGATATTCGTTGAATAAGAAACGTAAATAGTTTATTGACTTGATTAATAACATCTTAGCATTGTTTAATAATACAACAAACGTGTTAACGGTTAACACACAAACAAATGCAACTAGTATTATGGAAGACTAATTGTTTATCCTACTTTGTGTAGAAGGTACATATTAAAAAAGAAAAGAGACTACATGAAGTCAACTGGATCCAGCCTATGCTATATTCCTCAGAGAAAACATGCAGGATCATGAAATTAATGCTAGTTTTGCGAAGACTAATGGTTTGCACTGCGATATTAGATCTCAGAGATCGAAGACTATGGTACTTATTCAAAATGGGAAGTCTAATTGTATGCATACGTAGCTGCAGGGTATTTAAGACATTTGCAAGTCCCTGTTTAGAGTTAGTATTTTCATGCCAATACCCGGACTGAATCCTCTCATCTTTCATACCTTCACTATATAACCATTACTGATCATCGATTATCACTGTAAGATCCATTTGGAAGGTTTTATGTGTTGGTGAAAATCCCTCCATGTATATACTTGTACTTTATTCCTATTGATCACATTAGTTGTACATTGTTGTATTTTGATTACATTTGAATTGTTAATATTTGTATTTTTGTTATAGTTTTTGTTTTTATTACGCATTCACTATGTTTGTGTTTCTTCCTGAACTGCATCTGCGTTGTTTTACTTGACACTTGTTCTTGGCGGTAGCCATATTGATTTGTTCCTCCTGTTGTGTGTGATCTATCCAGTCAGGATAGAATAACGTTGATTTGTTGTGATTGGTAATTTTTCCTCATCTTCTATCAACTTCTTTATGTATTGTAATTTAGATTTAATTGATTGAACAATCATTGGTTCAATAGCCGGGTGGTAATATTTGTTTAGGTAATGATTTACATAAAATTTATTATGAATTATAGAACCGCTAGTTACCCGATTACTTGTTCTGATTTCGACGGGAAAGGGAGCGTATCTAAAGTCCCCGGTAGGCTATTCTTCAACATCCAAACCGTAGTTTGGATCCTACATCACTATTATCTGTTGTGACCAACTGGGACAATTTATAACAGCTTTTGTTGCTCTAGTTAAAATGTCTCATTTACTTTTTCTTGTTTCTGTTTGATATTAAATTAATTTTAACTGCATCTGGAATCCTGTGTTGCATTCCGATTTGCTCCACTGTACTGGTACATGAGCTATTCGATGTGAATATTCAGCATAAAATTCCATAAGCTTTTTTGATGTCCTGAACTCATCAAAGACTTGACTCGAAACCCAGTCACCTGAAAATTTGACGTCAAGGACTTATTTCTCAGCATTTTGCACCCAGTTACTATCATTCTTTTTTCATTTCGATCTATGTACATCGATATAAAACTGATTAACCATTTGGCTGTAATAATTAGTGCCACAATTTGTAGTCTATTTTTGCCAAGGTGTTGACAACATGAATCATTCTTCAGATGCTCTTTATTACACAGGTAAAAATATTGATCAGTTTGCAGTATGTCACCTTATACATCTTTCAACTGTAAAAAATAAGTGAAGCTTTATATACTATCAAATCTTACTTCTATCATTTGAAAAGAAGGCTGTATGGAATTACAGTCTAGGTCAGTCCTAGTAAACTTAGCAATGCCACTAGAATAATAGAGCCATTCCACAGTTGTAGATTTGTCACGCTATGGCCGGCTAATATATCCGAGCTTAGGTGAAAATCACATGATTATCTATACTGACTCGTTCTATCGTGATGGTCTGTAATTGCTGCTCAGATCTTCTAAGGAATGCATTCGGGCTAGAAAAAAATTTATTTATTTAATAGGAAGAATAAGAGGTTACTTACAGTGATCACAGTTGTATGGCTGAGACATGCCACACCAATCAAGTGTTCCGCGTTCACCACTTCTGTCCTTCCATCGCTGTCAAATTTAAGTGCAAATTTTCTGAGTCGTTATGTGTTCAGCTTCGAAGATCGTGTGACTAGGAATGAATACCACTGCAGCTTCATCATCCATCTGGCTTGAATCATTTATCTAAGCTACTATATTCTACTTTGTTCAAATCTCACACCACTAAGACATACGGATTCTACTCTTCTCTTTTATATCACAGATATCATACACTTCGCACCCACCAACTGTGTAAGCGACCACTAAACTACTCAATGTTTGTTTAAGATACGAAATTATATTTAGGAATGGCAGTCGTAAAAGATCCTTGTGCCACGTCAACTTTTGACTTGACCATTACTTTTGATTCGCTGCTAGTGATTTTAGTTCGCTAATCTTCCGTATATGTGAATATCATT